ACCCACCCACCCCACACACACAAACCCTGAAGGCGCTAGTTTGGGGAGTGTAATGGACAGGAGGAAGAACCTTGAGGGACTGGAGGAAGAGCTAGATAAAAGAAACCCGAGTCCGGGCCAGAAGGGCAACCTGCGAAAGCGTCTCAGATGAGACCCTCCCCAGTTCTCATGAAGATAAAGGGAGGGAGGGGGAAGCGCTTTCAGACTTGCAAGAGTCTGTTGCTATAACCCTATCATAAAAGTTATATTAGCCGGCACGACTTTGGTTTCCTAGTCTGGCCTGCCTTGGAGGGCTGACAGGGAGGTATGGAAGAGAAGTCGAGGATGGGGGCAACCCCAGGCACCCGTCTGTGCCTTGACTTCCCCATCCGAGTGCTGGAAGGGGTCTGCAGGAAGACTGCACCACGGGGCCTCCCTTGAGCTCCTCCCTGCTTCTGCCCCCCGCCCCCCAGTGCAGCTTCCTCATTCGACTTCCGCACCTTCGACCCGGAAGGGGTGATCTTCTATGGGGACACCAACCCCGGCGTTGACTGGTTCATCCTGGCGCTGCGTCGGGGGAAGCCGGAAATGCAGATCCATAACACCCTCATCAACATCACCGTCTCCGGGGGGCGGCGTCTCGATGATGGCCAGTGGCATCGGGTAAGATGAGTTGTTGCTGGACTACAACTCCCATCTCAGAGGCTGAAAATGATGGGAGGTGTCCAACTGTGCCTGGAGGGCCACAAGGCTGCCAGAGGCAGGCCAGGAGGTTTCTTGGGTGGGAGGGCAAAATAAGTCAACTGGGGCCTCCCCCCCAAGTGGGGTTCTGCTTCCTTGGCTGCTCCAGGGGGGTCAGCTGGGCATCATCAAGGAAGTCAAGAGAGTGGCCTTGAGCAAAGCTTCCCATGGTTTTTTGTGTGCATCGCCTGTGCAGTCGAAAAACCAGGGTGTGCGATGTACATAAAACCAGGCTGAGGTTTGATCGCACCATTGTGAATTTTTTGACCACTCCCGGCTGTTCCCTTACAGTGTGAGGGGGACAAGTGATGTCATCTGTGCCATGACATCATAGTGCAAATGGCATAACTGATGTCATTTTGAAGAAGGAGCTGTCACTTCACTCTCTCCTTCTTTCCAAAAACCATTTTCCAGGCTGGGGGCAAGGGTCTTCCCAATGACTGTCCTCTGTGTTAGGTTCAGTCATCGTTCGGAGCCTTATTTAACTGGGGTTTATTGAATAAGCCACAATGGCCTGGGTTCATGCGTCACATCGAACCATCATTTGCAAACCACACAGGCTGGGTGCACATTAACTCCCAAGCCATTCAAATCCCACTTGGAGCTACCACGACCCCCTAAAATGCTACAGGAATTTGCATGACTCCCTGAAAGTGAAACGAATGGGTTGAGCCAGAAATTAAATTTTAATCCGGTATGTCGTGAGTTCGGGTTCTCCAACTCTGCGCTACCGTAATTGTCCGTTGTTCAGGCAAAACGAGGCTGGGAGCCCAGAGTTTCGAGAGCGATCCCACTGGCTCCCCCGGTCGGATCAGCTAAGACAAAGGTGGCCCCCCGGACCCCCCAACCTTGCTCAGGTCCTGATCCGCAGGGCTGAGCGCTTTCGCTCCGGGTCTTCCTCTTCCCCTTTCCCCAACGCGGCTTCTGCTCTGCCCCCGGACAGATCCTGGTGAAGAACGAAGGGCACGGCGTCATGCTGGAGGTCGATGGAGAGGACCACCTCACCCTCAGCCATGTCTCCCACCCGATTGTGAATCGCCCCACCCCTCAGATGCGCATCGGAGTAGGAGGCATGCTCATCTCGCTGCATGAGTTGCTGGTCCCGGTAAGACGGACCTGCCGTCCTGTGGGGTGCCAAAAACGGCCAGAAGCCCCCACTGACCCCAGTCTGGGTTCCTTTCCCGTGGTTGCATCACCCCATCTTTTCTCTAAACCAGTGTTTCTCAACCTCAGCCACTTGAAGAGGTGTGGACTTCAACTCCCAGAATTCCCCAG